TAAATTAAATACATATTAATCATTTATAAATGAAAGTAGCAATCAAAAGTCACGAAAGAGAGAGGAGAAACTAAAAAGCCATTACAAATATTCACAAGCAAACAAATTGAAAGTTCTTGACACATCTCTGAAGATATATGTAAAAAGCTTGAGAAATCATTCCATTCCAATTCTGATCTTGTACTTCATTTAGTGCCTGTCTTGGAAACTAGGGCTTGATAAAATCCAAAGAAGAATCAGCAATATTATTGGTCCTGACCTGACATCTTGGCTTCAGTCACTTTTCCACTGCCATAAAGTTGCTTCTCTATGGTACTTTATGAATTTATGTGCAGTACTAGATTGGCAACAAGATCTTGTCAATTTACCATGGAATTGGCTAGATATAAACTGTATGTTCTATGGTAACAGTTTCTTTTTTCACACTTCTCATTTGTGGAACTCTCTTCTGGTTCCATGGTTTTTGGACGTCTTTGATCTTCAAAAATTTAAATGTAATGTCGATCATTATCTACTGTCTTCTTGATTACTTTTCTATTGGTCTTGCTCCTTCATAATGTTGCCGTTTTCTAATTGTTCCCCACCCAGTAACACCTTGTGTCTTAGTGGTTTTACTGTCTTGCTTGAGGTAAATTCAATTTAAAATATATATATAAAGGTAAAAGACAATAGGAAAACTGTATTATTAGCTGCCACATTTTGTCCAATATGGATATTTTCAAGGCAAAAATGAAATGAATTTATTGAAAACAAAGTAACTATTAACAAACAAAATGTCCTTAGCCACTAGAAGAATTTTATTAACTAAAAATTGCATCAAGTAATTTTTCAGTTGACAATATGAATACAATAGTGTTTTCTATATTCTTTGTTTCCAATAAATTCATTTCGTTTTTGCCTTGAAAAGTCCACATTGGACAAAATGCATCTGGTAAAAATACAGTTTTCCTATTGTCTTTTATCTTTATACATATTGTTTTTTTGTACAGGTTAACACTGAGAAATTTTTCATATATATATATATATATATATATATATACACACACACATATATATATAAACACTTTCTTTCTACAATATATTTTAAGATAAAAACTTCTTGAATATTTTTTCAATAGAATATAAACTAAAAACATTTTGTTTTGCATTTATCATTTTTGGACAGTGATTTTAAAAGAAAAGAACTTATATTCCTTGTGAACATAAATAACACACCTGAAGTTTTGAAAAAAACAAATATCCATCCTCTTTTCTTGAGGATTGTAGATCTGAAGAAAGATGCAGGACGGGATCAGTCAAAATGTTGTTTAAAAAAAGAAAAACAACTAAAAATGGATAGTCGAAACAACACGTGAAAAGATAATGACCCTTCCCTAAGTTACAAAAAGCAACACATATGATGACACATAATTATATACAACATCAGATTTTTTTAGTTTGATCTAAAGTTTTTACTTCCTTTTAAACATGGGATGAGTGTGTGTAACATGAGTAGAAATGAGGAAATATACTATTTATCAAAGTGTATTTATTTGAATACTGTAAAGAAACTGGGTTATATAAAAAATTTGGATAAGCTTCTTTTTTTTTTTATAGCACAGAAAAAAAAATAATGGACTAAAATTATTCACCTTTATTTGAGGACATCTGAACTTGAAAAGCATAAGTACTCACCTGAAAAATAAGAAAAATAATTTTAGAAGCAATGAATACAACAAAATTACAATATACACAAGAGTTTAGCATTTTGTAAAGAATGCATGAGGAAAAGCAATGTTTATTTGGTTTTTACATATTGGTTCTGTTATAGACAAGCGTATGGTTGCAAGAAAGAAATGTGACAACAGCAGAAATAGATTTACATGGTTAATTTCAACAGGACCATGAGGGTTTGGGACAGCTACCTTGTGGTATAGTTCATAAGCCGGCTTCGGATCTAGGTCGATCTCTCATAGTAGTTCACACATGTTGACGGTGGTTGATTCTCCCCTGCTGACAGCTGCTGGTTGCTCGGCCTGACTGTGACAGGTCTGTTCACTGGCCACCTGTTAACTGCCTGTTGAATTTCTGTGTGACCCCTTTTATAGCGTTTTTTTATGGCTTAACAGGCTCAAAAAACAAAGCAAGTATAATTAGGAGGGAAGCATTTTTATTGGACGAAAAATAGAGCACTTTAAATATTATTTTATTTTTCGACCGGAACTCGTGTGTCGGGAACATTTGTAAACAAAGATAATGGTCATTTTGTGATGGGGCTTTCTCCCGTTCACATCTGGCTCTCGCTCTGAAGTATTTGCCTGTAAATCAGCCGAGATATGTCTTATTTTATTTTATAACAGTTCTTATTACTAATTGATAGATCTTTTTTAAATTGCTTAGGATGTTATAAAAATATACATAAATGATATAGGCTATGTCCATAAATCTCTCACTTCCTTTCATATATGCACAAAGTATCTTAAAGTATCCAGACATTTAAAATATGTTAATAACTGTTTGCACAAACTTGATGTAACTTGGTAACCAATCAGAAGACCTTAGTGTACATATTTGAACAGATACTCTCCTGTGGAGTTAGACACCACTAAGTGAGCATTGTGGACTGTGTGATGATTGCATTTATCATGACAATGTATCTGCCTATTCTTCACATCATGGCCAAAATGTTGCATGCAATGATGTGTCAGTCCCTGTAACTCCTGGGTTTTTCCCAAAGTTAAAATCACAATTGAAAAGAATATTTCAGATGTTGGTCAAAATTACAAAGGATAAGAGTACTTTGAAGAAGACAAGGTGCCATTACCCAAGATAGGATATATAATTTAATAAATATAAAACTGAGGATTCTTGCATCACAGGATGAGTATTTTTAGAACACAGTATATAATACAGATTTTAGATGTCTGAAGCATTTTATTTTTAATTTTCAGACTAGTTTATCTTTCCTCTTATTTTTCTTTTTTATCACAACACTCAAATCATTTTACATTATATAACTATGAAGTAAGAAATATTGAACAGAAATGAAGAAGTGGCTTCCGATAAGATTTGAACTGAGCAAGAAATGTAGCTAGATGACTTGAATTTTGTATTGGCGTCATCCATTTCAGACAGATGCAAGTTCAAATCTCACCAAAAGGTGTTTTTTTATCATTTATAATCTGAGCTGCTTACTTGTAAAATTTAAAACAACTTGTGAATTGATATAAATTCAATTAATGTCACATAAAGTAACATCAGAAACATCAATAATATCCAAGTTCACATAACACTGAATACATTCAAAAATTAAAAATTACCAGTGCATCATATTTAGAATTTGGGGTACAAATGGATGTCATCACAGAATTCTAACAAAATGGATTTTGATTCATGACATTGATTGATTGATTTATTTTTCATTGCTTATCAACCATTTGCCAGTTATTTAAAGCTGAAATATAATTGGGATTGTGAGAATATTTTTTTTGCAAGTGAATATTGTATTAAGAATTTTTTGTGAATAACAATGATTTTTCCAGAGAGAAGTCCTACTACTTAATATATGGAGGGAGGAGATGAATTCATATCTTTTTCACTGGTATTGCATGCAATGTCTAAAATTATTATGCTATGCCAGTATACATAACTTTTCATTAAGCTTTTCATTCTGGATATATATTAGGGTGTCCTGCATGAAATTTTTTCACGATTCTCTTTTGTAGTGTCAAAGGTACCACTACACTTTCGCTGTACATGAGAATGTCATCACACATTGAATATACCTCAGATTCTGTCTTATTTTTTTCTTCATTTCAGTAATAAACTTGTCATCCAATGCTTTATTTTTTATTTCTTCCAATGTCACAGATATTTCCTGCACAGTATTGCATAGTATATTTTTATATCTACTTCTGATTGTAGAGAAGCAATGACCGTGTCTTCCAAAGATTCATTATTTCTTGGAATCAGTCTGGACAATCTGTCCACGTGACTTAATTTGCTCAATGGCAAGATGAATTCATATCTTTTCCACTGGTATTTGCATGTAAGTGAATGTAACTGTTGTAACCTAGGAAAAGGTTACTGAATAAGAATAACTAAAACAATGGTTGGAAATGAATAATAATATTTATAACAGAAACAACATACAAGATTCACCAGCAGCATGTAGTAAGTAATCAACTGCTAATGGTGAGCTAGAAGTGAATCAAGGTGAATTGCAAATGAAATCCCATAGTCAATCAACATACAGTATATTCCACTGTATTTATAAGGATTGGGACATACCAATTATAGTCCATAGGTACAGTATAACAGTAACAAACCTGACTGAAATTCAAACTTGACTATCTCTAATTCTTGAAACATTAAATAAACTGACATGAACTGTAGACAGTTCCTTTATACTTAAGTTTTAATATAGGGAATTTAATCTATTAATTAAAAAAATATTTTAAAATATTACACAATGTCTACCCTATTTAACAAAGCATATACATTGTATTGAGTTTGATTCTCACTGAGTGCCTAACACTTGTAGCATTTTTGTGCCAGACTAAGCTCATTTAACTAAATAGCCTTGATTACTGGAGTGACCCTCACTGAATGTGCTACACTTGTAGCCTTGTACTAACAAAACTAAGCCAAATAAATATTTAGTAAGAAAACAGCATTTTAATACTAAAATTTTTAATTATTTTAACTGTATTTGTGCCTTTCATTATTAGAGAATAATCATCAGAAACCCAGAAACATTTTCTTCTTGCTGATAAATTGGGTTTATTGATTGACTGATTTGTTTTTATGGCTTATCAACCTTTTACAGTTTATTTAAAGCCAGAAAATATTACTAGTTTGTAAGAATTTTTTGGAGGTAATAATGTTTTACACATTAATCCATAGCTGGGGCAAGAAGAGGTGGACTTATACCTTTCCCAATATAATAGATCTGACTGGAATTTGAACTTGGCTCTCCAATTTCCAGCTGTTATCCATTACACTATCTGTATACTTACGTTTACAGCACCTGATATCCCCCAAGCAGTCACCCATCTAGGTACTGATCAAGCTTGAAATTGCTTAACTTCAGTGATTGTATGGGAACTGGTGTTTCAACATGATATAGCCATAAGCCAAGTTGGATTTAATAAACACCATTGATATAGCTCTTGTGGTTACTAAAAGCAATATGAAAAATGCAGATGGATTAACTTGCAATATAATTGTCACCAGTAATTAATTTCATATCACTTTCCAACCTTTTATCAAGTTTAACATGCATGTACCAAATACTTCTAAACTATATTAGACCCTGTCAAGGGTGACAATGAGGTTAATAAGCTTTAGCTACTGACAGATCAGTTAGGGTTGTTATAGATGTGTATTCTTTTCAGCTGCTCATCTATACACTCTTTTCTCCATTTACCACTGTGACATGCCAAGCAAGACATTTTGTCAAGATATAGGTTAAAAGATGGAACACAGGGAGAAGTGGATTTATACATATCCCAAATTACTGTGAACATTAAGTTAGCTGGCATCTTACATGTCCAATTGTAAATATTAAGTATGTCAAAAGTACTTTATAAGTTGAAATCATTTTTTTATATCTCTCTGGTTTATTTTGTTGTAAGCATTGCAACCAACAGAGCAATTAGTATGGATTTTCTTATCCTTTTCCCAGCTACTCAAGCTAAACCACAAGGGTTGTTAAATCATTTGTAATAGATTTAGACTTACTATTTATAGTGATATGATTTATGGCTGGCCTGGTTATTATTTCCTGTAGTGATGACCATTTAAAATAACAAGCTGGAGAAGGACTTACAAAAGGAGGAAGGCATTCAATTTTAATTGTAGACATTCTTCTAAACCCAGGTTTCATTCTCAACTGTTGGCAGAGGAATTGTATTTTGGCAAATGCAGACTAAAAAGCTGATATACAGAGGAAGCCACAGATAATTAATTTCAGAGAAGAGAAAATGAAATCTTACTTCAGGAAATAAAGCTGAAACACTTAAATCAGTCCACTCCAACTCAATTATTATAGAATTTTCTTGTAAACTTGTCCAATCATTTGTCATCAATCTATACCTGGATAATGGAACCTCTCAGTTCAAATTCTGCTGTTTACATTGCATTTACTGTGTAGGTGAATTCTCGATTTTTTGAACAGGAATGTTAATTTCAGGCAGACTGATTTCTGAAAGCCAATAGAGTCCAAGAATAATCCTTACATTTCAGCTGTTTGATTGGTAAATAATCTAAGGAAAAAATTCCTGTTTTTTCTTTTTCTTTGAATATTTATGAAACCCGATTGGTGCTTAAGTTCACTCCATGATAATCCTGGAAGGGCATCTGTAAAATGTTTTTGTGAGTGTTGATTACTTACTATGAGTTGTTTGAGATTCTGAAATGAAGTATTTTTTCCTTATTTGTTTTTAACTGAACTATTCTTTGGCTGAACCACAGAGATTTCAATGTCTTGTTGCAACAAGAATAGTATCTGAGCCAGAGGAGTTGCTTTATATTGAATCCTTATGTAATGGGTTTTTGCTTAAAATTTGTCTTAAACTTGTGAATTTAAATCTTATCTAAAGTTACTTGTAAATTAATGGTTGAAAACTAGAACAGCTGAAAGTATTGCACAATTAATAAACAAATACCAAAAGAATTGTAAAATTTTAATGAGTTGATTTCAACCTTTCAAAGTTGGTAACCATTATAAATTTTGTAAGAAAAACATTCACTTTGCAACACTTTTGGGGTTTTGAAAGATTACACTCATTAGTTCTGATACAAATATCTACTTTCAATGTTAATCTATTTGCTTTAAATTCCATTTTAAAGATTCTTAGTTTGCTTGGGTTTGTCATTTACAAAGAGTAAAATGACATAATGGTTATTAGTACTGAAGAGATAACTGGCAAACTGAGTTAAAATTATATTGAGGTTGTGGATGTTTACAGTGCATTCCTACCTTTGGAAGAAGCATAAATTCACCCTTTCTATCTCATTGCTAAATATCTTGAAAAAGATCTTGACACTGGCATGACAATGACTAATTGAGAAGTACAGTCATGTCAAGAATTCATTCCTGTTCCTGGAACCATATAACCCAGTACTACCTATCTCCCATTATCTGGAGTAAAGATGGTCACTACAAAGTAATTTCAGTAGGAAGGTGCTTAATAAACATTAATAAGAATTAAGTAATTTCCAGAATTGTTTTGTAACTAGCATCATATAACTTAATACTCTCTGCCTCATATTACTTTGAGAAGAAATGGGTACCAGAAAGTAACTCTACCCTAGAGATGTTACGAAAAACTTAGCACTTCAAGGATATCTTAGATTAATAGGCTTAACAACATGTTATTTACAGAATAGAATATTCTAAAACTATCTTATCCAGGAATTGTCTCATTTGGACCACACCCAAGAATTATTTTGAATCAGATGACACTTTTTTTGCATATGCATGAATTTCAATTTTTTAATGATGCCACCAGAAAAAAAGCATATATCACTAGTTCTGATAGCATCATTAGTGTAATGTTTGGAAAATCTTAAAAGTATCTTAGAAATTTACTGTCAAAAAAAAACTTTTAGAAGTTAGAAAAATTGGTTCTGTATGAACTCTAAATACTTGTCTTCCCTTTCTTGCTTGGCACAAAAAAGACATTTTTAGATAATATAGCTCCTGGCTATGAAAAATGGATTTATTCCATAAATTCAAAATGAAGAAATTTGGGTAGATGCAAGACAGTATTTCAGCTTGTTAGTGAGCAATTGGCTCATTTGAATGACACACTGAAACCTTTTTTTTTTCAGAGCAATAAATTTGATTGATAATTTTATTGTATGACAATGACCACTTCCATGTTGAAAATGTGAGACAATTAAAAATCATAGAGTTTAAATGTGAAATTTTTATACATATAACATGTTCCCCAGACATGTCACCTTCAGTTTGTCAGTTGTTTTATTCCAAGTAGTATTCATTACTTAATCACTACTTCCAACAATTTCAAGATATTGGAAAATTTCTCAAAGAATTTGTCAAAATAAAACTATAATTATTCTTTTATGAGGGAATACACAGTATAAATGTAGTATTTGGTCAGATGCAAAATGTTTGTTTTGTTAATCCCATCATAACCAGGTCAAGAATGCTCCAGCACCTCCTAACATGATATTGGAATCAGTTCATTGGTTACTAATTAATAATACAAGACCTTAACATTCAGTCCTGTAGTTATTTCAGATGGTATGCTTAAGTTGAGATAAAAGTGAGAGAAACAGAGAGAGAGAAAAAACAAATTTTGAAGACTTGATACAAGATACACCTGAGAAAGGCTAAAGGACATATTGGCAAAACTGCTTAAAAACAACAAAAATGAAGATAAAACAGAAATGCCTAAAGTTTGTAATTTAATAATATTTATGTGTATAATGGTAATCTTTATTTAAGGCCATGTTATCGTGCATCTCTCACCCACAACTGGAGGGGCCTATCACAAATCTTGTTCTACTGGGAGCAAAGTTTTTTTTTAGGTTTGGTTTGGTTTCAAAATAAATATTCTTGAAATTAAAATTATATGAAATTTTTATTCAAAAGCCTATACACTAATGAACTACTTTATTTCTTTTTGTGTAATTTATATTTCTGTTGCTAACAAATGAAAAAAGTATGTTGAATTTTTACCATGATTCTTATACTGAAGTGTAACAATTTAATTTTACTTCAGTATCTGTCTATATTTCTGAGATGAGGTATTATGTACCGTATTTACACATAGCACAGTGGATAAAGGCGTTGGTTAGATCCAGTGACAGGACCCAAAGAGTGTGAGTTCAATATCCGGTTAAGGCAGTGGAGAACTTGCAGAGGGGAATTAGCAGGAGATAACTGATAACTAACATCCATTAAACATGGCATGTGGAACTAGAACAGTCTACCCCAGTGAGCGAAATAAAAGATTCAGTTCGACATTCCAACCACCTGAAGAAGGCTGGAGCATACAATGGCTGAAACGTTGTAATGAATATGGCGACAAAGATGAGGACAATAGTCCGAATAATGTAAATAGTGTTAATTTTACTTGATTTAAAGAAATAATTTATTAATCTGGTTTTTTCTAGTCTTTCTTATTACAAATATTAGAAAGTCTCTCCAAAGAAAGTTAATTTTAATTAAATGATTTTAATTAAATGATTCATGTTTAAATTTTAAGACTTTTCTTCCATTCTGTTTTTACAATGCAAAACTTATTTAAAAACAATATTATTTGTTACATAAAGTTAGCTTAATAATTTTTTCTATGATATTGTTATTCATAACAAATATATTGATGATGAAATTTAATTTTTATGAGTAATTTGTGTTTTTCTTTCTGAGAGGTATTTTAAAAAAGGATTTTTAATTTTAGTTTAGTTTACCATTAAAAAAACAAAATAGGAGCAAACATGATATTTTATATTGCAAAATGAATGAAAATCATTTGTTAAGTACATTGTTAAGTTAATGTCATAATATATTCATTAAATATAATGTTATTTTTAGAGATTGTTTTAGATACTGTTAATGAGGTGTAGAAGTAGTTTCATTTCATTAAAATTATTCTAACATGGATAATTAATTCAAAGATTAAAATGCATATAGGAATTTGTATACCCTTGTTAACAGGGTGTGAAGTGAGGGATATGAAACTATGCCAAATTATATATTAATTGTAATAAGACCTTAGTAAAGAAAAAATATACCAAAATAAAGAGGATTAACTTTTTGAGCCAAATTAATTATGTTCTTAATCTCAATTTCTTTTTTTAATTTCTACAGCAGCAAACTACTGTAAACCCAAACTGAAACTAAATAGCTTTGCTCCCAGTGAAATGTCGAGATTTGAGACAGGCCTCCAGTCTTGGGTGAGAAATACATGATGACATAAACTTAAATAAAGATCACCATGATGTGTGTATCTAAACAAGCAATTTTTTGTCACATGAATAAATGTAAGACAACCAAATTAGACAAACTCTTAAGGCATACATTAAAAACAAGAACATCAGAGAAATTTAAAATACTCATTGATGCTATCTATAAAACATTGTTTTTTTTTTGTAATTTT